TTTGCTTATCATCTTCGAAACCAGTTGCCATTGAAAGGTTGAACGTTTACGACGAACCTTTAAAAAGATCTCTACAATATATAACGGTATTGTTGTGCTAATTAGTATACAACTGACTGATACAGTTAGTGATAACCTCTAATGAGGACTTGGCTTTCAAATATGATCTCAAGTTCCTTGTCTTTCTCTTTCTATAACTTTATAGGGTCTCTTAGTTATCTCGCTGTCTACAGTACACTGTATTTATCTGTCAGAATTCAAGTAAGATGATATTGTAACTTTTCAAAGTACATTGAATAAAGCATACCTGAATATTGGCTTCTACAAATTTGAGTCAACCTGAACTCATCCATCAGTTATTACTTATTTCTGAGACGATATTTTTATTCAATGAAAATTCTGATCCATTCACTACTAGATATGTGAGAAATAGTATTAGATTTAATGAAGTACATCGTAAATGGCCGAGTAAATTAGTTACCTGGTCACATAGACTGGTTATTCCTTTGAATGTATGCGTAGTTCTGAATGAAAACAGAATTTCTGCATACCTTATTGTAGTATCTATCAGTGGGGTCAGGAATTGCGATACATCCTATGTAGGACTCTTCAGCCGGATATACATGCCTCCCATTGGGTCATGTTCTTCTTCTTCTTATTATTATTAGTCCCTTGGGTTCCTAGTGGAACATAGGGCTTCACTTGCACGTCCCCAGTGAACTCTCTTCTCTGAAATCTTTTCCACCTGGCTCCACGACAGCCCACAACCTCTCATTTCCTTCTCTCACGATCTCCTCCATGTCACCCTCACCTCGGATGCCCAACTCGTCGCTTCCCATGGGGATTCCACTCGAGTACCTGGCCTGGTGGATGATGTTCCCAGTCGGCCTTCTCAGTGTATGCCCAATCCATCTACACTTCCTTCCACTGTATATTTGTTGGGTGATAGGTTCTTCGTAGGTTCGTTCCCAGAGCTCCTTGTTGCTTATTCTTATTATTCTGGCAATGCATCTGATCTTCAGTAGCAAGCCAGCGTAGGCAGTTGTTGATGAATATCTGTAGTTTATTGGAAATCCCTTTCGTAACGCGCAAAGTCTCTGAACCATACACAAGCACTGACTTGACTAGGTTGGTGTTGAAAATCCGGATGTTGTTCCACATGCTGAGTGCAGTGGAAGATCTCCACACTGGTTTCAGGTTGATCAACGCCTGTCTTGCTTTTCCGATCCTGCCTGACTTTGCCATCTTCGTCTGTGCCTGTGCTGCCTGTAGTTGAAACAGTGCTGCCTGCCTAGATAGGTGAAGGAGGTTACTTCCTTTAACTTTCTCCCCTTGATGGTGACTGGAGTTTGTTGTTGTTGGTGGTGGTGGTGCGGTATCTTCATCACCTCCCTCTTCTCTATATTCACTTGAAGTCCCGTCTTCGCTGGTGATAGACCTCAATTCAAGTACAACACTCGGAAACTGAAAGATGAAACTGCAAAGGAGATCTTCAAGTCAGCCATCAAGACAAAGTGGGAGATATCGAGGAACATCCGTGAAGAAACCTGTGTGGAAGAACACTGGAAGTCTTTGAAAGAGATGTGGAAAGAAACCTGCACAGGCGTATTAGGAAGTAAGAAGAAAGAAGACAAGGAATGGATCTCGACGGATACCTGGAAGCTGATAGAGCGAGAGGAGGATGGTGATGCAGAAGATAAACCAGTGCAAGGATGCTCAACGAGAAGAGGAACTGAGCACAATGTATAAAACACTACACTGGACAAAGAAGTGAAGAAGAGTGCACGGAAAGACAAAAGACACTTCTACGAAACACTGGCAAGTGAAGCATAACAGGCTGCAGGTAAGAGAGACAGAGACCTGACGACATTGTATCAAATAACCAGGTTGTTATCTGGGAAGGGATCAACACAGATGAAACCAATAAAAGATGATGAAGGAAATTTAATTACTAAAGAAGAGAAACAAAGTAAACAATGGGCCGACCACTTCATGTTATTACCACCAAAATCTGAGCCTACGAATATTTCTTGCAAGTATCAGAACGCTATCCACCAAGCCACCTTTTAGCTTAGATATTATTGTTTATGGAAATCACAGCTTTATGATAACAATGCATATAACATATCTAGAATGTTGTTATCATTAAGGACTATGTATAATATAACAATGGTCACTATGTAATAAATGATCCCCCCAACCCCATTCGGATCAAGTGTAGGTTTCCAGTTTTGAATAGATATAGAACACATGTCAACTATAAGAGTTTCTATCAAAATGGTTAACATAGACATTAGCTGTGTAAAGTTGAAACGATCAAGTAAGTTAGCAAAAGGGATTCAATTTAAGTATCTCTTCAATGTTAACAAGTTAAAGATTTATTGAATTTGTTGTTCCACATTATTATTGATTATTTACACATTGATCTTTGCTTCCTTTCTGATATGGTCTTCCTTCCCTCTCAGATCTGAAAGATAAGGTGATTTTATTCAATGATTGTAATGGAAACGAGTGTTTAGAATACATGTTTTGATAATATTTATATAAATCAATTATGCTACTGAATTATGAAATAAGTAGCTAAAAGAATTGCAGACAATTTGTATGGTTTTGAACAGTACAAATTGAGTGTAGGTGTCTTATGCAGTCTGATCACATATTTTTCACATCTAGACCATGCTAACTGTGAAAATGCTTGTCTTTTACTTATCTGTATGAAGTTCGTTAGCCATTTTGACCTAGTAATATCCTAGATGCTTCACTTACTTGATGAAACACTGAGTATATTCTCTTCTCTTCTCGATTAGTAAAGGGGTTCAAGATAAACATTTCATTCTGTATGGAACAAATCAACTGGATATACTTCGATCTCAGTGAGTAATATTCTCTCTCATCACCTGGATTCGAACTCACAATGTTACCTACTAGTCCTTTATAAGGATTTATAAAATGGGTATCTGTTATTGTTCATTGATATCCTTAAAATGATCACTTTGGTCAACTTCCTGTCGATATGTAGCCTCCTATACAGATTTATTGATACTATATGTGGATATTGAAGTGATGAAACATGATAAATCAGGGGGGGAGAAAACAAAGCCTACACATAAGACTGTAGTATACTACAATCATATCATATGAATGAAAGGAGAAGACTTACTAAATTTTTAAGATATTTAGCTGAAGGTTGCTGTGGGACTGCACACAACAGAATTGAATTACGATAATAATATGTATGAAGTTTAAATATTTCCTCCAAGTCTTTACGAAGACTGGGTTTACAAATGATAGTAGTAATTAACAATACTGTGAATATTATTACTAATAGATGAGTAAATTTAGACATGATCTTTATCACCTTTTTTTCTTTTTACCAGGAATAAAAGAATTTAGTATTGTACAATTTTACTATATACTACTTATAGGTGGTTATTAACATCAGTAAGATTACATATTGATTAGATGCTGAAAACCCTTTCTACACTCTTATTTATGAGATATAACTGACAGAAGCTATTCCATTTCTTAATCATTCAATAACACAATGACAACTTATCACGGAGTCAAATAATACTTCAATTATCTTACAATTGACAATTACTGACTACAAAAAACACTCAATTTATATTGTTCACAACTAAATATCCAATCTCAGAGAACATCATAGTGACATCATCTTTATCTTGAGCTACAAGTCAACTGGTTTCAGTTTCACTCTTCTCCAAGCAACCATGATGGTATGATAGGTCCTTACTGAATACGATTCCTAGGACGCAAAGCTATGATAGGACGGAGTGTGTGTCCTGGATTCATCTGTTAGTCACCTACATCAAAATAACATCATGTATACCTCTTATTATCGAGACATCCGCATAATCGAGCAGTTTGACCCTATATAGTAAAGAGGAATTCCAAGTATCATAACAACCACCTGACGGTTACCTCCAACCAAATAGTATCTGTTAAAGTATACTGTGAAGGGTAGTCTCCCAACTCAGCAATTAGGACAAGTCAACTTGAAATTGGTTATACTAATCTCGGTGAGTAACAGAAGAATTCAGGACGTGCGTTTCCATCTGTCGCGGATTCGGTAGATGTAGATGTACCAGCACCCGGCTTGATACCGTCTACTTTCTGCTCATAAATTACTCTGACTACTGATTTTATATAAGTAGCTGAAATAATCAACAGAAATATTTCTACGAACAATAGCAAGATTCTCTGTTATGATAAATATTGTATCCTATAAAAACGCAGCCACAACTTTTTTCATGAACGACAATATTTCATTGAAGACACAATAGGCAGATGTAGAGGAAGAAGGAATTTTATTGATTTTACTGATATTTAATCCTAAGGGACCAGGAAATGGAATTTTATTCAATTATAACTGTCAGTAGGTCTTTTGTTTGTTCTAGACTATCCGATTGTAATAGACGGCATCAACTAACTCCTTACAATAATTCACCCATTATATCTCATCACAATTTCATGACAAATTACTAGTAAATACCATTTGACTGTCTGATATTACCCTTCTCAATTAGACGAAGATGGAAATTCATACTTGTGGTTACGATTCAATTTACACCACATGAATGTCAACACAAAAATGTGTCAATATCACAAACCACATTCAGAAATACTAACAATGACTAAAACACTCAATCACAATTAAGACTGATATATTTATGGATAATCACAATTCACACATCGATCTAACACACATGGAACGAAATCAAATCCCGTGTAATTGTCTACATTCACTGAACTTCAGAATCTCTATCTGCTTCTCCATCACCAAGGTCATCGATTCCTGTGAATACAAAATAACATGAGGAGATGAAAAGTTGTTAGATGATCAGATATTGAAAATGAATACATCATGAAGTGAATATCCGTTGAAATATGAAATGACAATTCTACTACAGTCTATACTCAAAATACATGATTACAAATCTGGATTGTGTGTATAGGTGAATATCCAATGTTCTCTCGATGCTGAACATGTTGGCCATCAATACAGACATCTCTAGCCGACTATCCTACTGATGGGTTGACAGTGACTACAGATGGCGAGTTCACATATCGAAATCTAATGACAATGTGACATGTTACACTAATCCTTTTCATTTATTCCCATCACCGATGCATATCTCGTCATTACTGGTGAAGAAATGTGAGGTGGCGATTAATCAAAATACTACATCTGGCATGTCATCCAACTGAAATGGAGATCAACTCCATTCGACATTTACGAAGTTGTGTAAACCATCTAGAAAACTCGTGTTGAACATCGTCTCACACTTGCAATCCACATCCCAGTAGGGCAACTCAAGTAGGCAATCCAACTGAAATTGTGTACATGACGATGCATGCTTACACATATGCAGTCAGACGCCTTGTTGTAAGCCCAACCTGAATATCGTAACAAATATATCAGGAAAATTCAAGCTTCTCACAAATTCACTATTACCGAATTCATTACAAGCACATACAAGACATGTCACACACATGTCAAGTGACTTCATTACAACTGCATGAACAAGATTTGTTGGAAATGTGAAAATGTGTGCTGTGAGATAATATGCAGACATACACCATCATGACATTCTACAGCTATTACGCCTACATCGACTCCCAATGCAAATTGAGAGTGTTTCCATACCCCCCACAAATGCAAAATTTGAAGGCCACAATACTAACAACTGAAATGGTAAATCACATCTCATCTCATCTCATTTCATGACGACATCAGCCAACATACCGTCTTGCACACCACCCTACTGCAAAATAACATCAAAACAGAAACTCATAGGAAGGAGAGCCGATATCGATTGAAAGGATGTCTTTATCTTAGACTACTGAGTAGCATGACTATGCAAACTAGGTGGGATTCCATTCAGTTGATGCATGAATCCAACATACCTGCAAAATTACAAGCTCCTCAGGTTTATCAGACAGAAAATACCAAGTCAAATGACACACAAAGCTCAGTCTTCACTCTCATTTCAACAAATTAAAAGAGATTGAGTACTTACCGTCCAATGGGGTGTCGTTCAACTCCTGTTTAGATGATGACTCGAAAGTCACCTCATCCTCAGTCTCTTCACCAAACTTCGATATACTCTGATCATCTTCGTGTGTCTCTTGGATGGAATCTTCGAAATCACTGTGTAGCTCATTTCCACCATCACCTCCCTCGTCATCCTTCTCTCCACCACCATTATATAACGCTTCATCCACTTCACTCCTCTCTCTGACATTGTCTTCCTCCTCCTCATCATCATCACCACGATACCCTCCACCATCTACGTCTCCCCCTTCCTCTCTTTTCTCATCTCCTTCATTTCTAGTCTCCACCTCTGTCAAAGTGTCCTCCAACTTGTTCACTGAAACACCATCTTCGATCACAACTGCCTCCACAGATTCCTAGTCAGTAAGCAACAACCAATGTTTAGACAATAGGAAGAGGAGTACTTCAATATTTAGTGGAAACAGTGGAGAATCTTTTCCACATCTGTCATGTGTTCGCACACTACACCAAACAATGAAGTGATAATCAACAACACCTTAGACAATAATAAACATGGAGACAGATCCTACTTTCTGTCAAGCTTATCATTTTTCACTCTAACTAATCAGGTAGTGAGAGCGAATAAAGAATTTGAACCATATCATGGGAGCGGGTCATACTCATACTAAAAGAATAAAAAATTGGTGTCATGAATGGATTGAAGTGAATGGATATTACTGAAGAAAGGAAGATGTTATAGTATAGTGAGTGAGGATCAGTAACCTGTTTAACACAAACCGCCAAAACATTAAGTCCATGACTCAAGACTGTTTATTATGTGCAAAGCGAATGAAACATGGTCATATGCCTCAGTGTCGTCACCCTCCAAGCAACTGATTACACGAGAGAGGGTCAACCTATACAATAACCCTTCTTCCTCATCATTAACTTCGCAATGAAGATGCTTGCATCAAACACAAATATACCTGCTCCAGTTCCATTCGTCGATGTACAATCACCAATCTAAGAATTTCATGCTCCAGATCAGTGAAAGGCGGAATTTGTATATACGGTAATCTACTACTCAGCGTTACTCGTTCCAATACAATGTTCTCTATACCGGTGAATTAGCCATTGATTCCAATGAACCACAATTTACACAAATAGGCTACCGTCTGCGGTGCCACTTCATGTGGACATAGGTGGAGCTGTGGGACATCAGTGAGGAGTGATGAAACAGTAATCTCAGTGTATGAATCACAGATTGTTTTTGCTGTATTGAAGGCAATATACACTGAGGAGTAAAGTGAGATGATCAGTAGTGCATAGGACGTATGCCTAGTAGGATTACAGAACATCGTTATCCCATCTATGAGTCTTTCAATGTCAGAAGGATCTGAGGGCTAACATAGATGAAGCGCTGTATTCATTACAACTCAAGCGTGCCGAATACACATGGGAACATCAACAGTCTCATTAAATCAACTGTACAACAGGTCAGTTCAAATGTCAACAGTACACAACATGACACTACACATAATATCTACAATGATACCTTATCAATGTTCTCAACAAAATCATCGAGGAATATATCAGAATATAAAATGAATAGACCGTGTCACGGACTGAAAGCAGAACAAAAAATCAAACAAATTACCTGCACTCACCTTCATCTCAGCATCACTGACCTGAGCATGCTTCTTTAAACAACGAGCTAAGTAGTCGACTGGATCCACAGGTCGCTTCATCAAAACTTCAGCCATGTACAACCGTAACACTGATCCAACAGCTTCAATCAAGTAAGATGTCTCAGGTCCATGAACATCTTCACTCTCATCAGTTAGGCTAAAATACACGCACACACATACACACATGCAACACAAATAAATTGCAGGGAAATGTGTCATCATCACAAGAGTAAATAGCTAACCGGGAACACTTGAGGAGACTTGAAGTTCGTCGTAAACGTCTGAAAAGAATCACTGACACGTGAATAGTTCAAACAACTAGTCTACACGGTACATGGTCATTTCGCATGGGTGCACAGGTGAGCCGTCTACAGGATATTCACTCGGTCGTAGATAAGCTTGACAGTGTAAGTCCTTTACAACGTAAACTTATTCCCTACAACAGTAAACAAAGTCTCAAGAAAGCAACGCTGAAGAATTAGACGAATAAAAATCAAACGACCTTTAACTCCTCTAAAGAAAACCGATTGATGATCACTATTTACTCCGAATAACCAAGAACCTATTGCTCAACAAATATGCAGAAGGAAGTGGAGATGGATCAGGCATACACTAGAGAAGGCCGATTGGGGACATCACGTGACAGGCCAAGTACTCGAGTGGAATCCAGATGGGAAGCGACGAGTTGGACATCCGAGGTGAGGGTGACATGGAGAAGATCGTGTGGGGAAGAAGTGAGAGTTTGTGGGCTGTCGTGGCATCAGGTTCCAATGTTTACAGAGAAGAGAGTGTAATGGAGACGTGCTACTGAAGCCATATGTTCCATTAGAAACCCAAGGGAGAAATAATAAAAATAAAATCTACTCCGAAAATTAACAGTCGGAAGTTAGTAACTTATCATGTGATAACCATAAATTCTACCACACAGTAGTAAAGGCACCCTTAAAAGCAAAATAAGAAGGTACATCAAATGAACAAATTACGAGTTCATAACGTGGATTCAACATAAGCTTAAACCACATCACACACACACACACACTTGTTGACACTAACCAATCAGAAGAACATCCCCTCAAACACGCTGAAATCAGAACACGAAATTCACTGAAAGAAACCTACACACAACAAATTATGAGTGTGGAGGAAACCCATCTGACAACTTAATTCAAAAGTATATCTCCAAGATGAGAATGGATGAATAAACATACAATATCAGATGGTCTCATTTGACAGACACATTACTGTCACTCATTGAGGCTCCGTAAGACACCAATCCAATATACATTGGAATGCAGCACAGACTGCCTCTTTTCAAATTTGTGAAAATTCATCATTCCAGATTAAGGCGATGTCACACTCTTACAAAATAACCACAATGCAACATCAACAATTCATTCTTGACATTTATTGGAGAAATAATCACACCGATAATCTGAACAATGTGAAGTGGACAACATGTCACGGTACGAGATAAACTATCTCTGCAACAGGCTAAGGTTAGATCAAGAAAGATGCATATATGAGATTACTTTGAAAACCTCAAAACTCAATTTACAAGTGCAATAACTTACTCTATCTCCATGCGTCGTTTTTGTTTATCGCGGCCTCATCTCACTATGGTAACTAAACGTGACCATTAATGATTGGTTAGTAAGCAGAAATGATATCGATCAGTTATTCTGTATCAATCACTTAAAAACAATGAATAACAACCAATCATATGCAGGCATAGAGACAATAGGCGCATTCACCCATTTAGCGAACTGAATGTATAGAAAAACACAGTAGTGCGCCTTTGTCCTTTATGACCTCGTGTAGAGCAAGTGAAGTTATGTTACCATTTATCACTGTATATCTCAATCATCCAGATTTAGACAATGAGTTCGGTGAGAATGAAGCACACTGATCTTCGTGAGACCCTACTTCATGGATGATTAGGAACAGACTTGTTAAGGGAGCCTTCAAGGGAACTGTGGCATATGTTGGGAGATACTTGAGTGAATGCATTGTCTCTGTGCGATCTGACAATATCGATGGTTTATTTGCACATGTTAACTCAGTATTAAGTATAACCTGATTCACTAAGGTGTTGTACAGTAAGTAATTGGAGAGAAGTTGTTGTGTTGCAGAGCATATGGTGGTTCTCCTTTCACCGTCTATAGGAGATGAATATGCATTGACAGGTGTTGAGATCACACCTCGTCCGTCATATCCTATCGAATAACAGTTATGGTCAGTGTCCACATAACACAGTTTGATAGTGTGACGACATTCAGACTGACAAGTACTTCACTTCACAGTGTTCTCCAGGAACACGTGGATCATGTAAGGCTAGAATATTGTGGAATGAATGAATGAATGAATATTTGTGGGTTGTGATTGAGATTGGCATTCTGACATTGTCAATAATCAATGTGAGGATTGGTTGTAGTTTTGTGATGACTTATTCTACGTGTTGAATTATTCATCTTGATGTGAATGCTGTAAGGTTGCAGCTGTACACCACATATGTGAGATGTTTGTAATTCCTTGGTGTCATTGACTATTCATTTAACATTTCACTTTCTCATGATATATGCTACTTATGATGTGACCATGTTATAATGTAGAGGGAAAGTGAGTTGTGTGGTTTGTGTGTATGTGAGAGGGATAGAGGCGTGTTATTCCCTCGTCATGCTGACTAACAGAAAGATACTTCGAAGTACATGACTTGCATCAGTGGTGCATCATATTTGTTACTCGAGAGGGAGGCTTGTCGACTTCACAGGTCACTTCAACAACCAATGAAATCAACAAATCGATTTTTGTGTATTTGTGTGAAATTCAGTTTTTCATGAAATGAGGTGAGATGAGATGAGATGTGATTTACCATTTCAGTTGTAGTTGAATTGATGCTACCCTGCCTAAATAGGTGAAAGAGACTACTTACTTAAAGTTTCTCCCATTCATGGTGATTGCGTTTGTTGTTGTCTCTTCTCTCTATTCTCACACTATTCACTATTAATTCTTCGAATGACTTTTAAGGTGATCCTGACAACATCTGAAATAACGAGATTGGAATTTTATTGATTACTCTTCCATATGTATAAATTTGTGGTGGTACAGCGCTGAAAATGGACTCTTCGTTGAAATACTCACCTGTTCTTGGATATATTTCAGTATTTAGGCATTTAAACAAACAAATCATCTATCACAATTTTTACAAGTACTTAAAAGTAACTAGGATTCTACAACAACTCAGGATACTCCGGTGAATTATTCCTAGCAGAGTCTCTATCACCTGGTGAATGATGCATCCTACAAAACTGTACTTGTCATTGAAGTAATCAGTGGCAACAGCATCACTCATTGGGAGTCAGGTAGATTACTGCCGAACAGTTTTAAATAGGACAAAGTGCACATCAACCTGGATCCTACTGATAGTCACTATCGATCAGTTTTCTTTTTCTCTATACTAAATTATATTAGTGTAAATGAATGATAATTTCTATGCAGACTCTTAGTGATGTAACCACCTCTTATGTATAGATTGAAGTCAAACACACTGCATTGTATATCTAATCAATGATAGATAGCCTTTCCTCTATCATATAACCATGTTGTCAACCAATCACATTAGAGAAAATAGGTTAAGGATAAAGACAGGTAGTAAAATGGACTGCTATAAAAATCGATTTGCACTTTATCTCATTTTAGGAAAGAAAAAAAATTAGAACAAATTGTCTTTCCTCTCTCTCTCTTTAATACACTCCTTTTTTCATTGGTAATATTTTTGTAAACAACATACATGTAACATTTTTGTTTTAACAGTTTGAAACCTGTGAAATAGTTACCCAGATTGTTTTTGCCTGATGATCACTATGTGAATTCATGAGACATTACTATCGCTTGATCGTAGACACACTGATTGCCCTCAATCAGGACTTCTTATGACAATCTTATGCGTTACTTGTAAACATTTTATAATTTTCTTCAACATTACCATAATAAGAGTTTCTATGTCGAAACCTGTGTGAAATGAGATATTTGTGTTTCTGTTAACCCCTTATGAACTAACAGTCATGGCGGAAAGGAGTAGTACAAGTCGGATTTCAATAATTTTACACACAAAAAAACATACTAAAAGTGTATATGAAGTTGAGCCTTGATGTAGATTTCTCATAGTTCTAATGACAACGTATCTGTAGATGCTGAACCATAAGATTTCACACTGACGTCGGTACACATGGACCATCTGGGAAATCTTTTAATCTCCTAGTGGGGATCCTATTGCGATTTCATCTTTATATCTATATATTCCGTCATTAAAGGTGAACTGAACGTTGAATGTGCATGTAAGTAACAATTTCTTAAGGCGGGGTGGGGGGGGGGGAGGGTCGGTATGTCAACATCTATGCTGTAGTTGGTGAAAAGTGTTTCCACATCAAGTGATATCATACATTTATTAGACACTTCTTCGTCTCTTATGTAATCAACATAGACAGTGGATAGTGATTCGTCTCTTTACAGGTTGTAAGATTTCGGCAAAGTATTTTACGGCTGGATGGTAGGGAGATTCAAACATTCCTAGAATCAGACGATGGAATGACTTTTCTACAATCCGTAAAGTAGTGGAATTTTGAAGGTTATTGGTTTGATGTATTTGTAGTGATCATTAGTTTTTGGCTGATCATCTTTTGTTGATTGTACAACTTTGAAAATGGAATCACCGTAAAGAGACTGTTTGTTGGAGTACTTGCTCCTTTACCAAATATTCACCGAAATAGTTCTGTCAGTTAGAGAAAAATATAATTTTCACTTTTGACATCATATTCATTCATATCTTTTGTTTCTTCATAGTTCTTCTCCAGCCTACATCTGACACCTTGATTTTACGGTTTGGTTTGCCTGTGGCAATAAACTAACAGTCTATGCTGGTTGGAACCAGAAAGAAGTTGTTATCTTACCTATATGAGGTATGATAAACGTAAGGCGTCTCCTAAGGATTACCAGTAGTCGGTAATTTCTCCACCTTCCGGATGGAAATTGAAGCAGAATAGAAATGGGTCTTCTTGTAAGTAGCTCACTAGTCCTAACAATACACTTTACCGTCTACTCTCAACTACCATGAAAACCTAACCCATTCTCCCTTTCAGATGCTTGATAGAAATAATCTTCACAATCTGTTCATTTCAAAAGTAATAGGAGTACACAAACGTTAAGTGTCCAGTGAAGTTTATCCCTACTCAGTGCGTCAACACAGCCCTAGAATGTTTATAAAAAGAAATAAACCATGGAAGTAATTAAGATTATTTCTCCAATTAGGAGAAAAGATGGTTGTTACTTCCTCGATCATGATTAATTAGATGAGTTCACTTCCATAACCAGCCTAGTTAGAATTCTTTGTATAATCATATTGAATTATCTAACAGATCAAGTATTGAACAGTAGGATCCGTTTTATCGACGACACCTTTGTTATCGTTAATGAATTAGGAAATCTTAAAGGTTTGATCTATAATGTTCTCACTCAAATCGAATTTACGATGCGGATGGACTAGAACAGACAACTACCACTCCTAGATGTTTGGGTCGGTGGAAATAATACCAGAAATTCGTAGACTAGAGTGTACAAGAAGTCAGCGAACAATGATCAAATCTTCCCCTATAATAGAAACAAGGTAACAACGTAAAACGTTAGTTGTGCGCAGACATGAAAAATTATTTGAAGCAGACTGAAGAACGGTTCCCCATGCAGCTTCATCAGAAGATACCGATCGCGTCCAGCATCAACTATAATATCATTCATAGAAATCAACAAACCCATCATCCTACAGTACACAAACAATATATCACAGACCACAACATAAATACTGAAACTACTTGGTATTCGTGTGACCCATAAACCAACAAATTCACTTCAAATCAAATCAGGCACACCAAAGGACGCAAAAACCAAAGAAGATAAACCGAACATCATTTACAAAATCCTTTGCAAGAAGTGTGATCGACAAGCACCACACTAGACAAAGTGGTCACCCTATTCAACTTCGTTTGCACGAACACCAACTGACTACTAAACTTAAACAATGTACTGATTGGTCATGGGAGTGCAACCAATTTCATGTTGTCTAGTCATGAGTGTAGACCGAATCCTATCGATCATATTTGCAATGTGGCAATCAAGCTAGGAAGTTGAGCATCGCGGTGCACATTAGTAGATATTAGTTGGTTGGAGGCAATCGGCAGGAAGTCCCGGATCTTCGTGCTTCTCAACACTCGTCATCAAGGCGTATCAGCGATCTCGACGGAACTAATGTTCCACCTGAGACTCAAACCCACGTCTACTAATGTGCACTGCAATGCTCAACTTCCTAGCTTGGTTGCCACATTGCAAATATGATCGATAGGATTCGGTTCGCACTCAGGACTAGACAACATGAAATTGGTTGCACTCCCGTAACCAATCAATACATGTAAGCCAGTAAACTGGATCTTACAAACCTGTCTCGTGTTTTCAGCAACACACACCTTTCAATCAAATTCACTCTAGGATTTGAATCAAACTCAACCTTCCATTTTCTTGATGTTCAACTTCAAAGAAAAGATGATAATTCACTTCCTAGATCAATTCACAGAAAGCCTATATGGAACGTACAGCTTTTAAACTATCAAAGCTAGGTCCCTCTGTGCAGGAAGATAAATCGTATCCATTCACTTTCCTCGAAGATCAGGAAAATATGTACTGAGGACACCGTTGACGAAGAACTGAAAATGCTTCAACGAACTCTTGCAGTTAGTGTTTTCCCGCTCAGATTCGCAGATAATAACATGAAGGCAAAAAAGTTAAATTGCCGAACACATTTAGCGCCGCAAAAGGTTAATCTGTTGGATCTTGACTTCAGAAATGATATTGCTGCAGAGATCCTCAGGAAACGACTGTCGAAATCCTTATACAGAACATCCTTTACTGCCAACCTTCGAATTGTTTTCTCATTAAACAAACTTTCTGGTCAATGTGCGAAAGACAAGTTGATGCACTGGGTCATTTCAATGTGTGTGTACCAGTTTACTTCTTGTTGTGGAGCAGAGCACATCAATGGTACCATGTGTCTGTTTGTAGAATATGCCCGAGAACATCACTCATCCTGACTGGCAAAAGGAGAATGGAAATGTATTTTCGGGTCAATAATAGAACACCTCGGGAACTCAGGCCACTTACCTCCATTTGACAGCTCATTCAACATTCTCTTCACAGGTTCGATCAAACTACTCGAAGGGAATAAGATCAAGGTATTTGTCTATTGCTGAAGTACTGGCCTTCACGAAGTTCAAATCAGTGTTATATGTCCACAAATGAATTCACAAACACCTTTTTTCTCCATTTGATTAAGAAGAGTGAATTCTTTTTACATAACTATCAATGACACATAGTAATGATGGACATTGGCTAACAGTGGAATCTAAGATGCGCATTTCGTCCTATTTCAGACTCATTAGTCAGCTGGATGTACCTACCTCTCAGTGAATGATATTGTTGCTACAGGCAATATTGAGGCATCTGTACAGGAGCCCATATCAACGACAGTGTCATACAAACAATAACACTGTCAATGAGATAATTGAAAACAAATAATTATGCATATACTTTCAATTGAAATATAATTTGCATGCCTATAATTATCAATAAATAAATTAGAAATATAATTTAACAGTTATGAAGTACTAAAGTGGTTTATAATAGTGTACTTTAAAGTAAACTGAGGTAAAAAAAAAGTGATTAAACAATTAAAAGTCTAGAATAGAACAACAGTGTAATCACTACACAGAAGATTAGAACGTGATAATAACTTATTTGATGAGATATATCAAATGGTCACCTATATAACCAGTATGAAATACATAGATTGTTACATATATGGAATAAGTATTCAGGCTAAATGGTGAATTGTTGTAGTCTTATATATAGTATAACGAATCTAACAGTAGAATGGTTAATATAGTTCTATGTATGTGTGTGTATGTGTATGTCAATATAAGTATACTTTTCAGTTAATTCTTTATTCATTTAATTGATTAAAACTTATCTTGCTTCTGTTGGTCTTGAGATAACCGGTCCAAAAAACATTCTATATGGACTTTGTGGATCTTCACTAAGAAAATATTCATTCCATGCTGTAAGAAATTCATCACTACTGATTTTACCGTCTTTATCACTGTCAATCATCTGAAAAAGGAATAAATATGAATTATATTCAGAACTTGACAAGAAAGAATTTCGTCGATGATGATTTATGATCAATATTGCACAAACTCGAAGATCTATAGGGGGAAACTAACAAGTTGACAGATGAGGTAAGGCAGCAAAAATGGGACTTCAAGTGAATGTAGAGAAGGTGGAGGTGATGAAGATATCTAACCAACAACAACCTCCAATCACCATCTATAGGAGAAACTTAAAGAAAGTAGCCTCTCTCACCTTTCTAGGCAAGGCAGCATAGTTTCAACTACAGGCAGTGGCGGTGGCACAGATGAGGACGTCAAATCCAGTCAGGATCAGAAAGACAGCAAGACAAGTCTCCATTAATCTGAAATCAATGTGCAGATCTTCTGCACTCAACTCAGAACAAAGCGTGAACAATATCTGGATTACCAACACCAATCCAGTCTTTCATCATCTGACTACAAGGGAATGACGGTGGATTTTTTGGCAATCTCGAATTATTTATGTACGATTTGTATCCTCTAAACAGTCATAACTTGAAAGATCTGTTATACGATTCATACATTCTGATATTTATCACAGTTAGGCAGCATATGAAGAAAACTACTCGACTATGAGATATATCGGTCCATCCGATTCCGATGTCGGATTATTGTGGTCGGAAGTAGTTCAATTCTATGGGGTGAAATGTCCAGGTACACTGCTGATTCTGTCAGCGTCATGTGATCGAAATATCCAATTGGTGTTTCGATCCCACTGCTCTATCAGGCTGGCAACATACTACAGTCCACCATGGGTGGTTACCAGCTATTTGAACTGTTTAAAACTAAACAATTTTTCGGTATAAGGTCAAGGCAACAGCTGATGACCTCCGTGTGAAGTATCGCTGCCAGAGTCAAGAGTAAGACATGGTTGCGCTTACTATCACCCATGATCTTCATGATTATGGTCGACTGGACCAGATTGGATCATGCAAGAAACCACTAGGAGGAGCGAGAAGATGGGCATACACTGTTTGACCGATGAAAAGACCCTAGAAGATTTGGATTTCGCCAACGGTGATGATTTATGTCTAATGTCTTATGTCACACAAACTCGAAGATGTACAGGCAAAAACTAAAAAGTTGGCAGAACAGTCATCCAAGGGGCAGCGCAGACAAGACTTCCTTCAGGTGAAGGTAGAGAAGACAGAGGTGATGAAGATACTCAGCCGACAACAACAAACACCAATCAACGTCAACATGAGAAATCTAAGGGAGGTTGTCTCTTTCACTTATCTACCTACCTATCTATCAATCTATCTATGGTTAGCAATAAACTACATGAGTACATTACCTCCTTCTCTTGAAGTTCCCAGAAGGAAATAATCCTTTCAAACGTTTCCATTATAGTGACATTTTGAAGTCGACTGAAGTACTAAGAGTAAAGCAAAATATGTGAAAGTTTCTGATCAAATAATCTACCTGAACATACCTTAACAATGATTAAACACTGTGGGGTATATTTGTAAGTGCTGACAGAATTTTAGCTCGGATGGTCACCATTGCGGTGCACTCTGACGGATTTTGGTTGATTTGACACAGTTGGCAAGAAGCTATGCACCAAGATCTGATGCTTTTGACATTCGTCAGTAAGATGTTCCTGCAACTTCTGCGGAACTGACGTTCCGTTCGAGGTTCGAACACTCGTCAACTAGAGTCACAGTCAGAATTGCTACCATTGGGCTATTCAAACTGTAAAGAAGGTCAGTTGTGATCCAAATGGCTCAGAGGTAACATCTCTGAGTGAAGCACTAGTTGACGTGGTTTCGAACCATAGGGAAGACATCACTTCCGTCAAGGTCACATATACTCCTAGCTGGCGACTGCTAACAACTTCAAGACTAACGACTTCAACTAACATATATCTTAACATTATTACAAGATAAAAAAAAAACAACTACGTAACTATGTTTATTATTGTAAAATATCGACTATTCTGTTAGCTTACCTTAAACATGCCTTCAGCTTCTTCTCGACCAACATGCCAAGCTTCTTGTAGTGTTCTATATGATGCTTGTGATATAAAACCACTATTATCAACTTCAATAGCTTTAAAAAATGTCCATCCAAACTGATCTATTTCATGACGAAATTCTCCATTGATCATTTCACGCATATTATGCACAAATTCAATCTCTCTTATTTCATCCAAATGTTCACCTTTTTTTTTTCACAATGAAATAAAATATTTAATCAGTGAAAAATGTATCTCTAAATGGTTGACTACAAGATTATACAGAAATATATAAGATAAATTGTTTATATGAAAAGAAGATATTCAGCGAAGAGGACTCTCTTCAAAGAATTCATTCTCAACTTGTACATTCCTGCATATACAAGTGATTTTTACATCTTCCATAGGTTAAATATGAATTATAAAGGGATGAGAACAGGACAGAACCAATAAACACGTTAACTGAGATCAAATAAGAAGATTGAATGAAATAACACTGAAGACTTGATTGTATCATGTTCTCTTAGCTGGGTTGTTGAATCATGAAGCTTTCATTGTCTTGCTAGACAACATCATTCACAGCAATAACTTCAGTATGAAGTGAGCTCTCCATATCTCTCCTTCAGTGATTTAGAAGCTGGTCCTGACGAACTGGTTTGTCAGTGATTGATTGTTTTCTTTGATTATTGTGTCATTGACTGATTGCATAGATTTTCCTGTTAGCTGTTCCTTTCCTTGACCTCTCAACTTTATGACTAGCTGAGCTGAATGCCAAGCTTCTAGGAATTCTGTCATATTCTTTGTGTTTCCTCTCTCCCTTCAACATTTCTACATTGTCAAGATTCAATTCATGTGAGTAGTTGTTATCCACGTGTATTGAAATGAGTGATGAAATGTCGTGTGTGACGTTTAATAGCCAATTGGTGTTCACATGTAGACAAAGGTGAAGAGGATGACCACTTTGTCCAGTGTAGTGTTGACTACAGTTATTGTAGTTGATTTTGTAAATGATATTCGATTCGTCTTGTTTGGTTGTTTCGTTGCATCCTTTGGTCTGCATAGTAAGTTGTGTTTGGATGGAATTTGCTAGTTTATGAGCCACATCAATTCAATCAAGGGGTCTCAGTAATCTTGTTGTGATTTCTGGAATATTCTTCATGTGTATGGTAGGATGATGCGTTTATTGATTTCTGTGGATGACTTTGTAGTTGATGATGCATGGAATAGGCATCTTGTGATCAAGTTTCCTGTGTAGTCGTTCTTCTTTAGGTTGTATACCAAGTAATTTTCTCCGTTTCTCTGTGAAGTTGTTGTACTGCAGTGTGTTCTCGCTCTTTTGAATAGAGTCTGTACGCAACTGATTTTGTGTGTTGTTGAGTTGTTGCTACTGTAGTTGAGGATTTGGTCAGTGTGCGTTGGCTTCCTGTACACTTGTGTTTCCAGCTTTCCAGTATTTGTCTTACTGACTGAAACATCCAGGAGTGATAGTTGGTTGTTTGACTCTTTCTCCATTGTGAATTTGATGTCACTGAAAACGTTGTTGATCAAACTGTGAGTGTTTTCTATATCATCCTTTTTAATCATGACAAAGGGTCGTCTACTAAGTGAATTCAAATTTTTGGTAGAATAATCCTACCTGTAATCAAACCAAAAATATGTGTATGATTCAAAAACCTGAGCCATGGAGGATTGACAGTAAGCCCAGCCTAACCTGAGTTTTCTGCTTTTGCCACCTGTCAGTATGTCACATCTCCAACCGTTTAAAAACTGATTTTCTCTAAGCTTTTCAAACTCACCTGACGTCTGAAGTTGTCATCAGAGAGGAGAATTTACAAGCCGTAATAACTTAACATCACAACTCTGCTGTTGATATTTCAATATAGATTGAAGGTAAGCGAAAGTATAGGATCTTCATAAGTAATATGGAGGTATTCATAATGGTCGACTTCATCGACTCACTTCTTGAAGTTAACAATAGAGAAAAGCTTGTATCCAACATTCTGTTAACTACTGTAGTCAAAAGTCAATGGGTACCCTTCCTACGATACCTCCAACTACATATATTGATCAACTTGTAGCTACCGAATAAACAGGAAAACAAAGCTTACTGTTTAACGGGGAAAAGGTTCTACGGCAGTTCAATTAACCATTCAACATTTAAGTGACATGTGATGTCAGATGGATGTATTGTAAAATTTATATTTTGATTACTGTGTAGATTTTTTGACAATACCAAAAGCTTAATTATGAAGTAACATGCCAATACAGAGTGGGCAGTGATTTTACAAGTATGGGCAAAAAGTAGCTTTCACAATTCATTAGTCTAATGAATAGTAATGTAACCTTTGAAGTGATATGTGTTTTAGTTCAGTTTCATTTGAAATATCACCATCTACTAGGATACATATGCATCTGGCTGATGAATCTCAAACATGACGAAACATATATCTTATACTCTATTAAAATTAATGAGCTTTTAACAATACATTTTGTTAACAGCTGAAATGATACGGAGGAAATGAAATGGTGTCATTTTATTCTATTTAAATTGTTATTCTTGGTAATTTCAATGGTATAAAACATGTAAATTCAGTATGATCCTCAGTCAACTCATTACATCAACCAATCAAAGAACAGTATATAGTTGAACTAACAATTAGCCAATCAGAGGAAACTGGAGAAAATATGGATTACTCATGAGTAGTTTAATGAATTACATCGCATATATTGTTGTAGATAGATGTTTTAAAATTCTTGTCAAGCAACTTTCAACTACTGAATTCCAACCATTCTGATGAATACGATTTCGATTGATAACTGAGAAATCAATCTAGGAAGAGTGAGGTGAATTACAAATGAAAACATTGAACACCCCCTCCCCCAAAGAAAAAGAAGTTCTGCGTATAAGGAGTAGCAATGGGATCGCCAATATCCCTAATCGTAGCAGATGTATTTATAGGTAGTTGGGAAAATATGGCTTCACAGACGTTTAGTCCTACACCTAAAATGTGGTGGCGATATATAGATGACACATTCACCACTGTGTTCAAACCGGAACATATCGACAATTTCCTCACACATATAAACTCAGTAGTAGGCGAAATCCAATTCCCTTAAGTGGAGGTAGAAAATGAACAAAGAGAATCATCTGTGTTAGATTGCAGAATAAAACGAAGAACAGACAGTGGCTTAAGTACTAGTGTCTACAGAAAACCAACACATTCGAACAGGTGTCTAGACTTCAAATCATCCCATCCAATGTCAGTCAGTCATTGAAGGCAGGATTAGTCAAATGTCTACATGACAGAGCTAGAAAACTGACTAGTCAGAGTAGGAATCTAAACAAGGAATTGAAACACATAAAAGAAATGCTAACAGTTAGGGTGACTAATAACGACAACACGAGTAAAAAGGAGTTCACAGCCTACATTGTATTACCCTATAAGGAGGGTATCTCAGAAACTTTATATAGAATCCTGAACAGTTTATACTGGAAGCGTGGTCATCAAGTAAATAATACTGTAATACTCATTATGTGTTATAAATCAAATAAACAAATCGAATATGGAATTAAAATTCTACCACAGTGCCCAAGTTTTACGCCTATCTGGTATCTGTCGAAAATTTGTGGTTGGAATTAACTGATCTCCGCTGGCCTCCACAATATTATTATTATTATTATTAGTCCCTTGGGTTCCTAGTGGAACATAGGGCTTCAGTAGCATGTCTCCAGTGACCTCTGTTCTCTGAGATCTTTTGAACCTGGTCCCACGACAGCCCACAACCTCTCATTTCCTCCTCGCACGACCTCCTCCATGTCACCCTCAGCTGGGACGTCCAACTCGTCGCTTCCCATGGGGATTCCACTCGAGCAACTGGCCTGACGCATGATGTCCTCAGTTGGCCTTCTCAGTGCATGCCCAATCCATCTCCACTTCCTCCTGCATATTTGTTAACTGATAGGTTCTTGCTTGGTTGGTTTGTTCCCAGAGTTCCTTGTTGCTTATTCTTTCTGGCCATCTGATAAGAATAAGCAACAAGGAACACTGGGAACGAACCAACCAAGAACCTATCACGCCTCCACAATAGATAAAGCTTTAATTTGCTATAATCTATTTGGTGATAGCCAGTGGTACAATCCAGGATACAAATTTCATTCTGTTCAGCAATCATCAGTTGAATCTACCTGTATATCAGTGAATGATTACGTCAGTTTTCAGGCATATACCCGGTACCCCACTCTTTTTTTAATAACCAGAGGGGGAATTAGTCGAAACTTCTCTATACGAAAGCAAAGGCAAATGCTTTTTTACCCATTAATGAACTCTAAACTCGTACATTATCTTGTAAGTCCTTCCTTGTGTAATAATCCAATAATTGAAAACGCCTTGTCAAGCATACCAGGCAACACAAATAGTGTCAATCATTTCAGGTATCATTAACAGCAAAAAGCAAAACCAAAAACTGATGAGTAGCGAATATTACTCAAAATACGTCTAGACAAGAAGTTTCGTAAGATGACGTCACAAGTAGGATCAGACAGAGAATAACAACAACAAAGAGTAGAAAATTATTCACGAAGTGAACAATCTTTTTAAGTGTACACAATTCAGGTTTCTCCATATAGAGATGGATGGCAAGAGCTTCGGTGATGTAGAGAATACGCAGACATACAGCCTTTTGACGGTCTTCTTTTCACCCTACAGATGATTTTGAACGAGGAGGTTATTGAGATAGTGTGATTTGTGTTCACGATGTGCTCAATTATAGCACTACTCATCGCTACATTGTTACATCTTTCGATAACCATGTGGGATAGTGTTCATGAAACCTTCTGGATAACAGTCACGTCAAATGACCTATATACCTGACTCCACAACACCAGATGAATTGATATATGCACATAGAAGTGGTCAGATGTGAAAGTTTCTCATTTGACTTGTGAGAAGTCGTTGGGCGACTATGAGGATACTAGTCTCAGAGTTGATGTAAAGAATGTTCTCCTTAGAGTGTTTGATATCCTCCTATTTAGAGTGTCAGCAGTAGAATCACCTTTGAAGTTTAGAGTTTCATACAGAGTGTCCATTATGGAATGGTGATAAGATTCTCTTTACGTGGTCTTGGTTTAATGTGTTTGTCTATGAGCAATAAGATTCACTGTTGAGTTCGAAAATCGATTGGAAAATCACTTTCTTGATCTATAGCTGTCAAGAACCACTGATGGAACATTAGGAAGAAATCTCGCATCCCACATTTCCTCCATATTCAACTTCTAAAAACTGAAGACACCTTTGGCTATCCATAAACTAAACATAAGTCTTTGTATGCACAAGAAGTAGTTACATTCGTTGTCTTTACCTTGGCATTAACTTATTTTGGTCTTGTTTGTCTATGAAGCTTGGTTGGAATGCGTTTTCAATCAGGATGTTCTTTAGAACAGAAATTTTTTTCTTCTAACACAAATCGACTGCAGATTCGTCTAGTGCGAGTGGCAAGAGATATGATCAAGTCTCTCTTATGACTCATAGCGATCCAAATATAAGAGTTTGTCAGTTGACCATTCCCCATTCATTTTCTATGAACTGATCTACTTAATGTTCCGCCAGCTGTTCGTGTCAGCTATAGATCAAGAAAGTGATTTTCCAATCGATTTTCGAACTCAACAGTGAGTCTTATTGCTCATAGACAAACACATTAAACCAAGACCACGTAAAGAGAATCTTATCACCATTCCATAATGGACACTCTGTATGAAACTCTAAACTTCAAAGGTGATTCTACTGCTGACACTCTAAATAGGAGGATATCAAACACTCTAAGGAGAACATTCTTTACATCAACTCTGAGACTAGTATCCTCATAGTCGCCCAACGACTTCTCACAAGTCAAATGAGAAACTTTCACATCTGACCACTTCTATGTGCATATATCAATTCATCTGGTGTTGTGGAGTCAGGTATATAGGTCATTTGACGTGACTGTTATCCAGAAGGTTTCATGAACACTATCCCACATGGTTATCGAAAGATGTAACAATGTAGCGATGAGTAGTGCTATAATTGAGCACATCGTGAACACAAATCACACTATCTCAATAACCTCCTCGTTCAAAATCATC